ATCTTTTGAAAGAGATCTGCAAACCATATGTTGTGGAATGGATTTTACTTCGCAAATATTGTTGCTTTTAAAATTCTTTAGTTTGCAAAAATGAGATATGCATATTTTTGTTTGTATAAAATAGTATGTCAAAATGTTATAGTTGGAAGACTATTTGATAAGAAAATTTTTTTTATGTGATAAAGAATATGTGTTATTTTGTTTGGAGAAAAAAAAAGACTTTTGTAGTTTTGTACTCCATGAGAAATGTTAGTGTGTCTGATTTTTGTAGACTAAAAACTTTTGTGGTTTTATACTCCGAATAAATTGGACTATGCAATTGATTTGAAGAACATGAAAACTTCACATAATAAGTCAGTGTTGTACTTTTGAATAGTTTTTTTGTCCTTATTGTTAGTATTTAAACTAAGTGGTATGTCTATTTATGATAGAGGAAAAATGTCAGTGACTTAGAATTTGTGATTTTGTGTCTCTATGGAATGAACTTTGACATTGAGTAAACATTGTCAAAGAGAATTGCAGCACTATAATTCTTTCGTAGAATAATGTTTCCAACATTAAAATATGTGGAAAAACTATTTTCAAATATTTGAAAAATATTTTTGAGATCACATTTGAAATGTGGGGGTTATTTGCTTATGATTAGACTTGGTGTCTAATTTAACTTAGGAGCAAAAGATATGAAATTCAATGATACTTTTGTATTATGTTATACCCACAAAATTCTTGGAGTATATTTGGTATTGTGGTTGTTGAGTTTCTCTATTACTAATATATAGTGTGACTAATATGAAACATCCAAATTAGATATATACTTGTTCAAAATAATTGTATTCTTTTATGGGAAAAAAAACACTTAAAATGTTGTGATTTTTCATGAAAAGATATGTCTATTATAATAAAAGTATTTGCATAGACATGAATATTGGTGAATAGTCATTTGTTATATTTTTGTAAAAATAACATTTGGACTATATTGTCTTTATTGAACCCGATGAAACTTTGTTCATGGGTAGTTCTATAACAATCATATTGAATGTTATGGAAATGTCCTTCTGAAAAGGACATGTGACAATCTAAATAATGTTTGTATCACACAAAATTGTAAGAAATAAGAACAAAATATTAAGAGGAAAAATCTACCTCGTGGAGTGCTTTTCAAACTCAATGTTTTTATTTGTTCTTACTTGCTTGAGTCAATGTTTGTGACATGAACACTTGGGGCATGTCAATTACAAAACCTTGTAAGGAAAACTGATAAACTTAGAAGTTTTGCCTAACTTTGAGTGTAATAAATAAAAATGTCAAGTTTTTGTGGAATCTAAGTATGTTGAACATTCTTATAAATCTATTGAAAGGAATTCTAATCCCTTATAATTGATTTACACTAACATTTGTGATATGAAATTAACACCATCTCATGGTGGGAAAAAGTATTTGTTACTTTTATTGAGAATTGCATTATAAATGACTATGTCTATTTGCTGAATGGTAAGGATGAAACAATAGAAATGTCTAGACAATGTAATATCGAAGTTAAAAATCAGTGTGAAAAAATATAAAAAGTGATAAGAATGGAGAGTATAAATCTCATTGCGCAGAAATATGTTTGGAAAGTGGAATATCCATCAAACTATTGTCATATTCACCTCAATCTAATGAAAAACCGAACGTTGAAAGAAATGATGGATGCATTATTTATAAGTTCGGGTTTACACAAAACTTATGTGGAGGAACTATCCTTATTGCAAAAGGGAACAACAAAAAGTTTTGTCTCTTTAGAGAGAAAGCAACTTTGTTTAATCAAAATACAATATTTTCCGTATGAGAAACGGAAAGAAAGGAAATCCAACTTGAAATATTTCAAAGTGTGGGAGTATCTAGTCAAAGTCCAAGTTCCTATTCCTAAAAGAATTAAAATAGTACCTATCACTGTGGACTGTAAAATTAGACTTGAATAGTCTAGAGAACGGTCTAAAAGGTGTTAAAGGACATTTACTTCCTTTGAATATGATTTTGTAACATTTCCTGTGTCTTTTGTAGACTCATTCTTTGGAAAGATGGTGTCAATAAACAATATTGGAAGTTAATTGATCTTTTTCAAGAAAATAAACCTTTGGGTTCAAAGTGAATCCTTAAAAGGAAAATAATAGTTGATGGAACTGTTGAAAAATATAAAGCAAGACTTTGTGCCAAAGGCTTTAGAATTTTTTTTTTATCTTGTCAATATATATATGTACTCGTTAGTAATTAGAATTATATCCATTCGGATGCAAAAATTATTAGTGTGGTATATGACCTCCAAATTCATCAATTGAATGTGAAAAGAACTTTCTTAAATGTAGAATTGGAGGAAGAAATTTACATGGAGGATTTTGTGGTTCCTGATAAATAAAAGAAAGTGTGTGAAATTGTTAAGTTACATTATGGAAGCACCTAAACAATGACATAATTTGATCAAACTATGTCGACAAATGGATTGAAGAATGATGGAAGTGATAAATGTATTCACATTAAAATCATAAGGTCATTGTTTGTTTGTATATTGTTGATATTTTGATCATCAATAGAGACATTAATGACATAAATGCTACTAAACGTATGCTATAAAGCAAGTGGAATGGAAATTATTGGAGTTGCTAATGCGATCTTAGATATAAGAATTCGTAGAACTCCATAATGTTTAGCATTTTCACGGTCTCATTGCATTGAAAAGGTACTTAACTAGTTCAAATATTTGGATGTCAATATTTTCAAGTCTCCAGTAAATGTGAGCTTTGAATTTCAAAAGGGTGAAAACAAAAGTGACTCACAATTGGATTGTTCTACAGTTTTGGGAAGCATGATGTATATCACATAATGTGTGCGATCAGATATAGCATTTGCTATTTTAAGCTGAGTCGGTTCACAAGTGATCCCAAATAAATTCATTAGATGACAATAAATAAATTTTTGGAGTATTTAAAATAATACTTAAAACTATGTCTTGCATTATAACAATATCCAACAATATTGAAAGATATAGTGATGCAAATTGAATCATCGGACGAATGAAGTAAAATTCACGAGTGGATATGTATTTACTATTGGTAGAGGAGCATTCTCTTAGAAATATTTCAAAACAGAGATGTATCGCTAGCTCTACAATGATCTTTGAGCTAGGTTCTCTAGATAAGGTCGGTGAATAAGTTGAAAGACTCCGAAATTTCTTGATTGATATTCTGTTTTGGCCCAAACCATTGGCATTAGTATGCATACACTTTCACAGTCAAGATGCAATAGGTAGGGCATGGAGCATGATGTATAACGGAAAGTCTCATCATATATGACATAAATATGATACCGTTAGAAAACTACTCTCTAGTGAAATTATCGGAATTGACTATGTAACGTCAAAGGATAATATGTCAAATCCACTTACAAAAAGGCCTAACTAGAGAGGAAGTTAATAGATCGTCTAAGGGAATGAATTTACGGCTTAGGACAAGTCATCATGGCGGTAACTCTATCTACTAGACTGGAGATCCCAAGAGCTAGATTTAAGGAGAAAAACAAAGTGGTGAATGACGGTTCGTCATTGTCAACAAACTCAATCAATTCTCATGATGAAGACAATGCTCAAGAACAAGGATACAACATTAAGGCTTGTTAATGAGTTAATAAAGCTTAATGATTTTAATGATTTGCTAAGTTTGGTAGAGTTGACCAAATAGTGTATCTATGCGATAACACGGTTAGGAATCACCTATGTGAGTGTGAAGTGTAAGCTGCTTCAAAGAAGATGATTGTCAAAAGCCTATCTCTCTATACACTCATGAAACCATGAGGTGTTCATGGCTAAAACGAACACAACCGTAAGAACCATAAACGGTAAAGAGTTAATTGTGTGACATATGGTTGTCTAGGTATACACCAAAGTTCGACGGTTCAAAGATATCGCATCTACCGATTGATCGAGTATATCCGACATATGTTTACTACAGAAAGTCCAGGGGGAAACCTACTTATCCAGATGCAATTAATTCTTATTTGTAAAGTACACATACTTGTCCGTTTCTTTGTCTTCAAGTCATTCCCCATTCATGCGGGGGATTGTTGGATTTTAAAAGGGTGTGAATGAAAAATGAAGAGTTGCGACTTTTATGAAGAGTTATGAATTTTATGAAATGTTGCGACTTTTATGAAAAGTTGTGACTTTTATGGAAAGTTATGATTTTTATGAAAGGTGACGACCTTTCTGAAAGATTGTGACTTTTCCAAAGGTTTGTGGCCTTTCCGGTAAGGCACAATAAGAACCTTTTTGCACTACCCTTTGTTTTCTATAAATTGAGGGATTTCCTCTCATTTTCATATAGAATTCATGGACTTTTCTTCAACTACTAAATCTAGTATTGTAAGTGTACTTTAATGCCGTTGAGCGGTTCGCTGACATCACAGCTTTTGGTATCTATTCTCTGGTGATTGAGATTATTTTACCCTAGGAGGTCATATTCCAAATCAAACCTCGGATATTAGAGGGGAATAATTTCCTTAAGGGGACACTGTGAGTTCATTGGACTTGATCTTTTTCCTATTAAAAGTTTCTAGATTATAGTACGTGTTTTACAAATTTTATATTTGTGAATTAATTTCAGTTCTTCTATCTTTTTTTTTCTTCACTGGTTCATTAAACTTGGTAACTTCGTGTTTCTTCAAAGTTTGTTGGAATTAGTAAGATTCTGTAGTCACGGATTAACAACAATTCTTCTTTAAGAAAAATATTTCGTATATTTTTTAAAAAATCTGTTTCTGATTCTAGTTTTGCTACTAGTTTTAATTTTCTAGTTGTGAAAATGTTCTTAAACTTTGTTGTCTTACAAAGATGTTCAAAGTTTGTTCTATGTATGTTTTGAATACAAGATGAACAACATTACATAGAGAGTGGGAAAACTGGTATCAAATTTATCACCTTATAATCCATCAGAATAAACTATTAAGTTATAACACAAACTAATCTAAAAAAGGACTATGTCATTTCTCATTGTGATTGATCCCCTTAGGTGAAGGCTAATACGCAAAGAACGTTAGCATTTTAAGTTCTAGCATCAGAAGAGTGCCAAATGACCAGAGTTTATTATTCTAGAGCATTTTGTTGAACCATATGTGTTTTTCCATTTGTTAACTTTCAATGATTTTTTCATTTTAGGCAACATAGTGTCACGACCCTCCTGATACCCAGGCAGTTCGCGACCTGCCTAGGCAGCCAGCAGGCGCAGCAGGCGCAAGGGAGCAGGCTGACCACGCAGGTCAGCAGCCAAGGGGACCAGCAGCAGCTGAAGAGGCAGCAATTACAATAGTTACAGCCGCTACAGCTGTTACACTTGTTAGTGGGGCGGCTGTTTCAGGAGTTACAAGTCTTTGAGAGGCTTGTGCAGATCATGGGGCAGACTAGTCAAGGCTAGGAGTCCTTTTTGGAAGACTTAGGAGTCATGCCTTGAGTACATGAATAGGGGCTTGTATAGTTGTATTTATTTACTCTTAGGGGTTAGAGTAGTATAAATAGTAAGGTCATTGTATTTTGTAAAGCATCCAACAATTCATTGACTAATAAGATACTAGTCCATTCTTCCAAATCTGTCTTTGTTTTCTCTTTCTAAAGTTCTCTTAGCGATCCAAGTAGAGGAAGGCTTACTTGAGTCTAGAAGATCGTGCAAGAATCGTGAGTAGACCGTCAAGTGCCGCACGGAGTATTGTCCGATTCGAAAAGTCCGTGACAGTTGGTATCAGAGCCAGGTTCATCGTAAGAGAATGACGAACGAAGGAGACGGCACTAGCAGCACCCCCAACGCCTGCACTGATGGTGGGAAGAAGAACAAGAAAGGGAAGAAGCAGCAGACGGGTAATGAACCCAATCTGCCCGGACTTCCCCCAAGAGTTCCTCCACCAGGTGTTCCTACACCAAGCGAAGGGCAAGCATCTCTCCCTCCCCAGATTGTCGATGGAAGTGACGTAGACACCAGCGAGGAGTCCGTGGACGTTACTGTCGGACCGGAGTGGATTGCAAGGGCCGAAATGGCGAGGCAAGCCGTTGAGATCATAGGCCAGCGCTTGAATACAACGGACAGAGATCTCAAAGCTCTTGAAGAGTACTCCCTTGAGGAAGTTGAGAAAGTTCGGAAGGTGTTGGAGGCACGCTAGCAAGCCGAGTACGAGACAAAGGAGGCCATTACTTCCTTAGAAATCAGATTTAGGGAAGCACTTGGCACAATCGAGTCGCTTAAGGCCAAGGTGGCAGCACTCGAGGAGGATAGAGAGGTTGGTGGATCCTCATCACATGACCGGGAAAGGGAAGCCAGAATTGAGGCGCCTAAGCCACCAGTCTTCATAGGCGTCCGTGACGCGCAAGCGGTGGATAATTTCCTTTGGCACTTGGAGAAATATTTCAAGTGTATGCGGGTCCGTAGTGATGTGAACAAGATCAACACGGCTGTGTTGTATCTTTCAGAGTTGGCCATGCTATGGTGGAAACGTAAAGAGTCTGATATCGCAAAGGGGACGTGCGCGTTGAACAAATGGGAGCAGTTCCATGTGGAGTTCAAGAAGGCGTTCCTCCCTAGCAACGTCGTCTATGAGGCAAAGCGCAAGATGCGGGAGTTGAGACAAAAGGGCAGCATACGCGCGTATGTGCGGGAGTTTACCACCCTTACATTTCAGATTCCTGACCTCAAGGACGACGACACATTGTTCTACTTCATGGATGGGCTGAAAAATTGGGCCAGAACGGAGTTGGAACGGCGGCAAGTCAGGACTATAGACGATGCCATCACGCAGGCTGAAGCCTTGACAGACTTCAGGCGAGAGAAGTCTATTAGTGCAGAGGAGGACGACGAGGTAGGCAGTCATGATGATAGTGGGGATGACGGTGGCGAAGGCTAGGAGCAAACGCCACAACCCAAAAGGCGTGACACCTACGGGTCCAGCGGCAAGAAGCCCAGAGATCGTGGAAACACGGTACGGGATTCCAAGGATGGTTGCTTCATATGCAAAGGGCCGCATGGTTACAAGAGATGCCCTGAACTGAAAAATCTTGGTGCTATACTCCGTGAGCGGAAGGAAGAGAAGGCCCAAGAAGAAGTCGGGGAGACTAAGCAGTTAGGCGTGGTAAGCCTATGCGGGGCAGTCATCGAGCAACCATCGACGAGGCCAAGGCAAGTTGAGCCAAGGCAAGCGGAGCTGAAGCATGCTGACAAGGGACTTGCAAAGTCTATGGCGTGGGCTCAAACAGTCGACATCACGGTCAATGGGAAGATTGCTCGTGCGTTGATCGACACCGGTGCTGAGGTCAATGTTGTGACCAAGACGGCAGCAAAGAGGTTGGGGTTGCGATATACTTCAAGCAACGCCCAAATAAAGTCTGTCAACGCATCACCGACTCCCACAGTTGGAGTAGCACACGGCGTTAACATCATGGTAGGCGATTGGCAAGGGAAAACCAAGTCCATCGTCGCCCCCATCAACATGTTTGATGTTATTCTTGGGCCGAAGTTCTTCCAACAGTGCCATGCAGTAATCGATCCTCATCTCCAAAAATTGACAATCATGGAGAAAGGAAGGGAATATACAGTTCCCATGGTGAAGGCACAAGCGACGGAGGGACAGGCTAGACTGACAGCCATGGAGCTCGAGAGGGTCAACGTGAGAAGAAGGTTAATACCGGCAACAACCATTGCAAGTTCGAGAGAAGACAATGGTGCTGGAAAGTCCATGTCACCGCGCAGTAAGAGGGTTCCGAGTAGGAACGCTAACATGATGAAGAGGCCGCCGGAGCACTTGCCTCCGTTGAAGGAGGAAGTTCAGAAGATCGGGTCGAGAAAGGACGACACATCGATGAAGAGGCTAATCGAAGGGATTGATCGAGTACGCGAGTTGATGGTCGCCCGGTAGAACTCAACGCCGATTTGAACGCAATGTGACGCAGACGTCGCATCATCAGGTGGGCGAGTTTGTCACGACCCGCATGATACCCAAGCAGTTCGCGACCTGCCTAGGCAGCCAGCAGCGCAGCAGGCGCAAGGGAGCAGGCTGACCACGCAGGTCAGCAGCCAAGGGGGCCAGCAGCAGCTGAAGAGGCAGCAGTTACAACAGTTTCAGCTGGTACGGCAGTTACAGCCGTTACAGCTGTTACACTTGTTAGTGGGGCGGCTGTTTCAGGAGTTACAAGTCTTTGAGAGGCTTGTGCAGATCATGGGGCAGACTAGTCAAGGCTAGGAGTCCTTTTTTGAAGACTTAGGAGTCATGCCTTGAGTGCATGAACATAGGGGCTTGTATAGTTGTATTTATTTACTCTTAGGGGTTAGAGTAGTATAAATAGTAGGGTCATTGTATTTTGTAAAGCATCCAACAGTTCATTGACTAATAAGATACTAGTCCATTATTCCAAATCTGTCTTTGTTTTCTCTTTCTAAAGTTCTCTTAGCGATCCAAGTAGAGGAAGGCTTACTTGAGTCTACAAGATCGTGCAAGAATCGTGAGTAGACCGTCAAGTGCCGCACGGAGTATTGTCCGATTCGAAAAGTCCGTGACAATAGGGACAATATAGCCTCATGGTCCTATTTTAATAAAACATGTCTGGAAAATTCCTCCTGAAAAGACAATTCATGTGTCGTTTAATAGTTGTAACCTATCTATTGGGAAAGAAGGGTGAAAGATTGCTAGCTTTCTAGGAATTGTTGCGAGACCTCTAGAATTAACACCTATACATGTAGATTATTGGAGAACTTTTGACAACGAGCAAAAGAGAAATTGGTGGATTTTCTAAGTGTATTAGCATTATTACTAGGTGAACAAACTCAATTTATACATGATATTATCTTTTAAATATTGACTTTTATTTTGAGAAGTTCTCTTTTTCGAAATATTGAGAAGCGTTTGTCTTTAAGTCACTTGGAAAGAAATGCAAAGACTATAAGTGTAAAATTAAAGGTGAGACTATATGTCAAAATATAAGACTAAAGAATATTTGCCGAAAAAATAGAGACAAAATCTAATACCGAGAGATAAATGAAGTGGTCTAGTCGCTTATTGCGTTTCTGATAAACAAAAGCTATAAAAAATCTTGAAAACACACCTACATATTTTAGTTATGCTACATTTTATTAAATAATTTGTAAGATTTTTTTAATTATATAAAAAACATAGGCCTACCAAGGAAGTGGATCTGATGAAACAAAATAACGAGAAGTTGCGAGCACCAACAACCACAAACAACCAACAACCACCAATATGTAAGGTCAAGAATAATGTTATTACATGAGCAAAAAAATTGTCTGACTTACGAATCCTGCACTCTTTCTTTAATTTCTTTCATGTATACAATTCGTTATTTGCTGCGGGGATGATCATCAAGCTCGGTGTCTCAATTCGGTGCCCTATAGAGGTAACCTTATCCCCTTTTAGATTTGTTTTACTCATATATTGTTTGTTTATATTTTAGGATATTTCAATATTACAATAGTTTAAGCTTCATGTTTGAATTAATTCACTTCTTTTAGGTGTAATTTTAGTTTTGCATATTATAAGTGTCTAAATTAGCGTAGTTTAGTTTAGTTTAGTCGTTGTTTGAGTTGTATAAGTAATGTTACCCCTTTTTTAGTGTTATTGTGTTCATTTCTACTCTGTTTTCATTTATGTAGATTAGCTTAATTATAATCTTGTTTGAGTTATATAACCAATTTTCCTTTTTATGAAAGCATGAGGTTTGCTATTAATATGTTCTCCCTTTGTTTCCTTTCTATAGCGTATTGTATTCTTATGTTACCAATAGTTGCAGGTCAAACAATTTTTTTTAAGAAATAAAACTTTATGTCTTGCCTTCTTTAATTGAAAATAGAGTTAAGTATGACTCAAATTGTCACTTTCCCTTCTGAATTTAGATTAAATATTAAGTCATTGTTGTTGTGTAATGTTCATGATGTTTACTAGTTTGTTAATACTTAAAGGTTGAACATGTTTGGTATTTAAAGTTATGAGGCTACAAATAGGTGTTCATCCCTTTAAAATTTATTTTCTTTAAAATATAAGATTTTTCCTAAGTCATATATTCAGCTAGGTTAATTTTGAGACAATTTTAGCCTCTTAAATGAATTTCAAACATTTTTCTTCTTTTTTAGTCTCAAATTTGTTTCTCATCTTTAATTTTATTTCTTTTGAGATGTTCACTTCTATGTTCAATTTCTCCTCTTTTTTTAACAAGGTCGTTTGGAAATTTATTCAAGATATTTTTAAAATGAAGTTGATTTAATTGTTCTTAAATATGAAAATTTTCACTTCTAAAACATTGATCTTCCAGTTCTTAAGAGGACCAACTTGTCGTTAAAAAATTATTCCAGTTTTTCGTTTCTTATTAAATCTATATTCTGAATTTGAAAACATAAAAGTTTTTTACTTGTGCTTATATTTTACTCTCATAATGTTGAGTATTATGGGTGATTGTTTGTTAAAGCTTTCACCATGTGCAAAATCTATTTGAAATGCTTATGTTGTTTTAAGTTTGTTTCCACATCTCCTTATTTATGTTTTAAATAATTGTCATTGTCAATATTAACTTGATAGTCATTGGTGATCACTCCTACTC